CTCCGATGGCCCGAACTCATGACAGAAAACCTTAACAAATTCAGGCCAACGAGGAAAGTTCTTGATACAATTCCGCCATTGAAACCACTGAAGGGCTTCTCGATCAAAATGAAAAGATGCCAATTGAACCTTGCGATCGTCGACGACCGAGAAATATTCGAAGAAATGTTCCGCCTTATACACCCAAGCTAAGGGATCATCACCTTCACCAAATCTTGGAAAATCGAGCTTGATTAGTGGCTGGCGAAACTGGAATTGATAATCTTGAGGACGGAATCTAGTATCTTGACGCTGGAATTGCAGATTGGGATCAAGATTCTGATCGCTGAAGGTTTCCTCCGAATCCATGGGATTTCCCCCCAATTCAGACGGACCCACACGATTGGTACGATCGCGGCCTTGCTCTTCCATGGAAACCGACCGAGATTCCAACAACGAGAGACGAGTATCGATCGACGCCATGAATTTGGTCATTTGGGCTGTCAGATTCTGAACCGATTCTTCGATTCTGGAGTTCGAAGCTTCAAGGGCGGTGACGCGAGCATCCATCTTTGTGGCTCGAGTGGTTGCCCTCGACATACGCAAGGGAAACGTGGGATTGTAGAATTGGCTGATACCAATAATAAGAACCTTGTTCTAACCTCAACGCATGACACACATAAGCCTGCTATATAACTGTTCACAACATACTTTTTCATATCATAACCTCCTTTGCACAATTAGTCTGCTATATATCTATCTCAGACTTGCAAGGTAAGTTTCTAGACAGTAACCACCCAACTAACTAAATCATCCCATCTCATGACAAGTGTCAATCATCTAATAGGGTTCCATTACCTAACAGAACATACACATATCTCATTAATTTGGATAACCCAACTTAGTATCCTAACACATCACCTTGTGCACGTGCACCATCATCATGGCAAACATTTTCATTAAACATTTCTATTCCATTTGCAGTGTCAGAAGTATGATCTTCTTGTATCCCCTGATTTCTTTTGCTATTTCTAGTTCTTTTTCGCATCATGTGAAAAAAAATTGTAAATGCTAAACTACAGATTGATAGCTGGGAAGAAAATAATGAAATTAAATTTAAAATTTTTCATCACACCTAAATTGTAATTAAATAAAGAAAATATATAATATCATATCACAACCACAGAAGCAAGAATTTTAAAATGCCACAACATTTAAATACTATGCATAATTTTTTTTTTTTAATTATTTCCAAACCCATTTGCATGCATTTCCTCACTTTCCCATTTCCCTTTTCCAATTTTCTATAATTCGTTCCAATAACAACTAATTCTTTCCAAATTCCAATCAAGAAAAATAAAAGATTGTATGTCAATTTAAGCTTTACCTGTAGATTAGCAACAACAACAGCAAACTGATTCCAACGGCCTGGAGAAATTTGGGTTTTAGGGATTTGAGATTGTATGTAAATTTAAGCTCTACATGTCTCTAAGTATAACTATAACCAATGCAACCATTGACATCAATATGTACTCACATGAAGCTTACCTGGGCGTCCGCAGCATTATGCAATAATATGCATATCTATACTACTGCATATACTAAAATGTAATGCAATTGACGTGGCATTTAAAAACGTAAATCCATTTAAAACAATTGGGAAAATAGAAAATATATATACGTATACATAGAAAACCAAAAACCCACTCACCTGGAGTCCGCGCTATAACTCCCTAGCACAAACATCAAGGCGTCACGAATGATCGGCACCTAGAACAATTATCAACTCATGTATTACAATTCTTATCATTAGAACATATAACTTATATATCCTATTCGGGAAGATCCGTAAGTCGGATTCCCGATCCGTAAGTTTCTAATATCCTCAAATATTACGTATTATAACGTATCAAAGTTTGGTGACGATCCAACGGTCAGATCGTCAATTGCTATAATAATCAAGCGGCGGATCTTAATGGAACTACGCTCAAATGATGGAAATTCGTCAATCAGACTTCGCCAATGGAATCAGGGTATTGAAATTTAGCCTAGGAAGGTCAGGGGACGTCTCAGCCCACGCGCCGCCGCAGGTGCCGCAGCAGGTGATGGTCGGCCGCCCCGACTTGCTGGAAAACTTAACTCAGTGAATAGAGCAACTTTCATACCTGTGACTAAGGCCAATTTGGCGGGGAAATGTCCCAATTTCATCCAAACCCGCCAGAAACCCTTAAAATTGGGTAGTTGTTGATTCATCTCCAAACAAACTATGACGCTTCCTCCAAAGCTTGGGCATTGCTCCTGGGATTGAGGGGAGTCCATTTGTAATGGTGGTTGCCAGAGTTAGCTTCACGATCATCGGATTTTCGTCATGCACCCCTGGAACCCACGAGCTCCATTCTTCCCGAAATCAAGGCTAAATCTAGTGAAATTTGATTGGAAATGGAAGATGGGAGGTCATGGAAGGTTTCTCAGGTGGTGGGTGGCGACAATTTGACGGAAAAACCGACGGAAACCGCCGAAAAAGATGGTGGAGCCCGGTTGGGTCACAGGTCAATGGGAAACCCAGTAGGTTCCTATCCTTCTCCCATTCTCTCATTTTTCCTCCTTTCCTCTTTTCCCATTGGTTCTCCTCATTTTCTCCTTTCCTTATTGGTCCGGTTCCTCCCTCCTTTCTCTCATTTATCCTCTATCTCCACCGACCATCTTTCTTTCTTTTAATCTGGATCAGACACGTGGCTCCACCAGATTTTGCTCCAAAAATCTGGAGCATTCTAGAAAATAACTAATTTACTAAAATGGCCCCGACTTTAAACATTAATATCTCATTCGTTATAACTCCAAATCACAATCCGTTTGCGCCCACGCGTCCATAGCGACAGGTACTACGGGAATATATCAAGAAAATGAACCTTACGTGACACGACACGACAATCAACAAAAGTCAACACTTTGTCTCGAAGGGCATTTTCGTTAATTCAATTTTTAAATTATAAAAATCATAATAATTGGGGACGGGTCGTTACATCTTTTAAAGTACATGTGAAGAAAAAACCCTAATTAATTAGATTATGGGGGTTTTGTTTTATATCAAGATATTGAAGCAGAAGCCACACTTTGAAGAATACACGCTACACAGAAAAATGATGAAATGCCCCCCGTTGAATCCATCATTGATCCACTGGAGGTAGAGCTTAAGCATACTGCAGGAGGTATATTTTTGTTCTGCAATATGACCCCTTTAATTTTGTTTTAAGATAGATAGGCTTGAAAAAACTTCATGTGGTATTTTGTATCAGTTTTGAGTGTCTATTTTGGCTTCCATATTTGGTTTGTACCCATGAGGTATAGAGTGTTCAATATGTATTTGGTTTCTATATTGTTAAAGGATCTATTAACTCATTTATTTACATGAATTAATAATTATAACGAGTTAAATTTTGGGAACTGTTATTGGCACTCCAAAAAGCTCATTTTACACTCCTCACAAATGTATTTTCTTTCTACTTATAGAAAATTTGGAGTACCAAATGAAATTTTTGAAGTACTAATAACAATTCCCTAAATTTTTTATGTTTTTGGATGTATTGGTTTTTTAGGTAACCAAGTTGCAGGATGACAACAAAACACTTGATCGGCTTACTAAATCCAAGGAGGCGGGTCTGCTTGAGGCCGAGAGAACTGATCAGATTACTTCGGCAAAAGCATCCTTGGTTGATGATCTGCAAGTAAACCTTCAATTTCCACATGAAGTTTGCATTTTCATTATTTCTGGAATTTGAGTTTTTATTTTATTTATTTTTTATTTCTCAAGTCTATCACATAGATTACGATTTCACATATGTATTATTAATGGCAATTATATGATAGAAGAATTGGGAGTGATGCTGCTAAACTGCTAAACCTTATTATATGTATTATTAATGGCAATTATACGATTTCACATACATACGTCTTATTTCTCAATTCTCATAACCTCATGCTCTGTAAACAATCTGTGTAGGTTTTGGAAATGATGCTGCTAAACCACATTTACCCCATATCGTGAGCCCAATCAAGTTGTTCTCACTTGAACTCATGATAAAATTTATGGATCCGCCATGTATGAATATGAATGTATCTACTGATAGTGTTTAGATTTTCACTTGGTCTTTTCTTTTTATTAATTTGTGGACCAATTTTAATTGCTAATCATTGTTGGAAAGATTAATTAATCCCATTACTTGAGATGAGTGTGTTAAATTATGTTTATGGTTTTAAACCTGCAGCAGAGCGCGAGATCTTTGCTAATAAAAACTATAGCATAACATGTCTGCTATTTTAAATTCATATTTCCTCCACCCGCAACATCGTTGAAAATGTCATTCTCTCTGTACAAGGTCCTGTCTTTTCTACCCATAGAAAGTTGCGATTATTTATTTGCATTATTTTGTTGTTGAGTATGTTTTTTTTTTATTCATCTTGTATGGCAGTCCTGCCCATATATGTTATACATATTTATGGCCCTTAATTTTCTATATAAATAAATTTAATTTGTTTAAAAAAATCAGATTTTCTTGTTGAAGCGATCACATGGAATATGCTATAAAAGTTTAAGAAAGATAAGTTAAAACTGCTATATGGACATTTAATAATAAAAAATAATTACGAATTCTCTTCAACCAAGTTTTCAGTTTCTTACGTAGCGTTGAGTTAATTTAAGACATAATCCTTTGCTGTCAAATTCGACAACATTTGTCAAATCCATTTAATTATTTTTTAATAGATGTGATGTGATGTATAATAAATGTCCAATTATTTAATCAGATATCTCAATAATTAGACTCTTCAAAGAGATGAATTTATTTTTTATATACAATAACATTATTATCAAGTACAATTGCTACATAAATCATCAAATATTTGTTTTAAAAATGCTCTAAATTCTTTACTAAGAGATGTTTTTTAATATACACGAAACATGAGCTATACTATATATTATTATACGAATAATGTTTTTTTTTCAATGTTACTCAATAGAATGAGATAAAACGTACTTGCCGTATTTCAGACGAGGTTGAAAAATTTCTCATCCGTTAGCTTTCAAGTTTACGTTTGATCCCACAAGAGGGAGGTTTTTAACCAATAACAGTCAAAACGTTTTCAGTTTTCTTTCCAATTTCGTCAACTTCCCTCCCATTCTCTTTCTTCCCTAAGTTTCCGGTTTTCCTTGTCACCCAGCACCCTAAATCTCACTGCTTATACGTCGGTGACAGGGGCAAAAATATCAAAGATCCGAGGAGCAACCACCAACCAATCAGATCTTTGAAATTCCTCTGATTTCTCTATCTGGGTTTTGCTGGGTTTATGATGGGGTGGAGATACAGAGCTGGGTTGTTCCTAATTGCTGCTGTTGTTGTCATTTGGGTCACCTCTGCAGAAGTTACCCAGGTTAGTTACTCCTTTCTTTTGACCTTTGTAAATTTGGAAACTTTAACATTAGTAATTTACTTTTGGAGTTTTGGTTTGAATTTGATTGATGGTAATGCATTTTTTCTGCGATTTGACTTTTTTTTTTCTGATGGTTTTGTGAGTTGTAGGGGTTGGAAATGATTGGAATTTGTACCCAACTGATGAACTTTATCAGAAGATTGTATGTTAGCTTGAACTTGTTTAAGACGATGTCCTCGGGCTTCACCCATTAGAGGAACATGGTTAAGATATTAGTTCAGTTATTGTTCATGAGTTAGTAGGGATCAAAAGAATAGTTAGTGAATATTGTTCTTTTCCTTCGTTTTTACCCTGAGATCTATTGCAACCATGGGGTATAACTAATGGTTCTGGGTTTAATCAGCATAGGGAAAATAAGGGTTGTTAGATTTCCTCCTTGCATTAGGTGGTGCTTCCATGGAGGACAGCCATTAGCAATACTAAGATTGAACTTTTTGAATTCTTTGCGTTGGCTTAGTTGGTTGACACTGAGTTGAATCCGAAAACTCTATGTTTAACTGCTTTTGAGTCTCCTCCATGCCCTCATCTCAAACTTAGTAATGAAAGTTTTGATTGATTACTTGGTAAGCCAACTTTGTTTTTTGTTCTTGAATTGAGCTTGGAGTTTATGTGGTGGCCGAATATAATCCTTTAGTAAACAATTGTGATTATTTGATCATCTTTGACCGTGGGGGAAGTGATGCTGCTCAAATTCGAGCTGCTTCCTAAAAGCCATGGTGAATTGAACCCTTTTAGAAGATGATTGTGATTGTATCTAATTGCTTCAACTGGAATCTTTCTGCATATATCCTCCTCAATAGTCTGATTTTAAGCTGCAAATTTAGTCACGCATTTTAGAAATTCTTTGATTGAGTTCTTTGATGTGGCGCATCCTATTTACCTATATATTTGATAATATTGTGCACCGTGAGGTTCTAGCTGACCAATATTGTGACTTCTGCAGGGTATATTTACGGACTATAAGCAGCCATTTGCAGTAACATATCTTGGAGCTTCTCTTATGGTAGTTTACATCCCAATAGCATTCATTAAGGATTGGTTGTGTAATTTTCTAAAATGCCGCTCTTCTAGAAGTGGTAAAAATGCAGAAAGCGTGAATGAGTTTTCTGCTGGATTTAGTTCTTCTATAAAACTCAATGGATTGCAGAAAGAATTTGAATTGGAAATTCATGGGTCCTTGACCAGAAAAGACAGTGATGCAGAGTTTTCACCTCATATTGAAGAACAACCTTTGGTTTCTAAATACAAAGATGACTTGAATGTGCTGAAACATGATAAGGAGGTTACTACGAGGCAAATTGCTACTTATGGGTTTTACATTGCCCCTCTCTGGTTTATGACGGAGGTAAGGAACTTCCTAAAGCTACTCTGTTCAAGACTACATCCAATTGACTGTACGTGGTGTTGAGTCCGAGACATGTTTCTCATGGAATACACCCAAATCACTATTAGGATGTTCTCTTTTGCTTGCAGACAGGAAAATTTCCATATCAATTTTCATATTTATATGTGTTTATCAAATGGGATACGTTTCTTTGAATTGATAATTCAAAATTATTGTGAAGGACGTCAAGAAAATTCTTATTGATCTTTGTAATTGTTTCAGTACTTTTCAAATGCTGCTCTCGCGCGTACAAGTGTTGCAAGTACAACAGTATTATCCTCAACGTCAGGACTATTTACTCTTTTTGTTGGTGCATTCTTGGGCGAAGATTCTTTAAATATAGCAAAGGTGGTTGCTGTCTTTGTTAGCATGGCTGGTGTAGCTATGACAACTCTGGGCAAAACGTGGGCTACAGATGAGTCACAACTCAGTGCTGCGTATGTTTAATCAGTCAACCCCTGTTGTTCACGTCAAATTTATTCATGACTTACATGATATTTGTCTCGTTTTTTATGGAAGAAAAAAGATCTCTTTTTACATACCAATACCATTACCATTATATATAATATCAAATTGCTCTTTGTAATGCATATTTTGGCATTGACAGTTAATATTTTTGTTCAGCAATGGGAAACGCTCTCTTGTTGGAGATCTGTTTGGTCTTCTCTCAGCCATGTCATATGGTCTATTTACTGGTTGGGGAAATATCCTTTTTCATTTACTCCTTGGCACAAGTTTTTCATAGATTATTTTGACAATAATATTAACATTTCATCTTACTCTTAATGCTACAGTTCTTCTCAAAAAGTTTGCGGGCGAAGGAGGAGAAAGGGTCAACGTGCAAAAGTTGTTTGGGTATATTGGATTATTTACACTTGTATCGTTATGGTGGCTTGGTAAGGGTTGCTTGAGTATTTATGATTCATTTCAGTTTTTCTCCTTCAGATCTGATTTCCAGAAATCAAGCAAGGCACAGTGAAAGGCAATCCATCACTTCTTTGATTGAATCATTATATTCTCTAATTTTTCTTTTATTTTCCAGTTTGGCCGTTGACAGCATTGGGCATTGAGCCCAAGTTTATGATTCCTCACTCTGCTAAATTGGAAGAAGTTGTTATTGCCAACGGCTTTATTGGAAGTGTACTCTCTGACTACTTCTGGTATGTTTAAACAATCATTTTTCAATCTGCGATTCACACACTTATGTTTTCACAGACTGCTTGCTTTAAACTTCAGCCAATAAATAGAAATTCCCTACAGGGCACTATGTGTTGTGTGGACAACTCCACTTGTTGCCACCTTGGGCATGTCGCTCACCATCCCCCTTGCTATGGTTGCTGACATGTTTATCCATGGCCGCCATTATTCAGCAGTTTACATACTTGGCTCTGCTCAGGTATGATGTTTTCATGAATAATCGTTATATTGTTGAATTATTTAGCATTTGTAGTTACCTTTGTGAAACTTTTTTTCCAGAAGGTGCTTCGTTTCAGCATTTCTTACTACCTTTGGGAGAAAATGATCTCTCAGTTGCAATATATGTATAAAAAAAACTTATGTCCTGTTGCATATATGAACTCTTTTTGTTCCTTCTGTGGTATGTTGCAGGTGTTTGCAGGATTTGTGATAGCTAATCTTTCGGATTGGTGCTCGAAGAAGTTGGGATTATAGCATTGTGTCGAAGACTACGTGATTTGTTTGGGAATCCTGATTCTTTTATGGGGCCATTTTCTCTCTTCCGTTCTGATCGGACGTCAAGTTCTTAAGTTTACGAGCCGGAAATTTGTCTTGAATAGGAGTGGTTGGTTTGTGGAGAGGGAGAGTGAGGGAACGGAATATAGTTGTATCATACTTGATTGCGTAAATCAACTCTGGGGTGAGGTTTGTTCTTTCACCTTCATCAGGTCTGAGTGTGGAGCCCTGAAATGTAATAAACCTTTTGTGGGTTCAAAGTAAAATCTTACATCGCGCGCTCTGTTCACGTGTCGTTTGTTTCTGTATTCGTCTTGTGTTGATCGCAAATCGTTCTTTTTAATGGCCACTGCTAACAAATCGTGACAAGCCAGTAAAGGTACGAAACTTCTAATCTGAGTTGAACTCTAACGGATGCATTTATTGAGGTCACCTAGGCTGCATGTGGGGATTTACTAGGATGTCATTCGATTTAACTGCGGTTTTTTCCGAATCAATTTTTCATGCGAATGCACATCGTGCTAACAATTTGTTGACAATTTTGACAAAAAGAAAAACAATGTGTACAAATCGTTGGCGTTTTAAGAATGATTAACACGTGTCAGTACAAACTTTGGGGTTTAAAAAAATGAAAACTAATTAAAAGGGTTTGAAAACTTTGAGTTTTAATGATAACGACAAAATAAAGGGTAAAGTGAATAGTACCAAGATTGACTTTTTAGTGTAAAAATGTGGTTTTTCTTTAAAGTGAGTAGTATTGGGAGCTTTTCATTAAAGTTCTCTTTTCAAAATGATTAACGTGTGACGGTTGCTTAGGTGGTTCCGGCCTATCCTAATGCCATCTCCAACCGAAAGGTCTAGAGAGCCAGAGGGCCGTCCGAAAACCGTCTTCAACCGAGGGCTGTGGAATCTGAGAGGGTCCCATAGAATCGGAAAGGGCTAGAGGGCTGAAGGGTTGGCCAGAAAATATTGCATTACTAACAGGATTGCTTAAAAAAAATTTAAATACAACGGCTGGTTAGCTAGCCGTTGTATTCAATTTTTTTTATTTTTTGGGCTTTTTTTATTTTTATTTTTTAAAATTCTTAAAAGTTCTATTTTTTTTTTCCCTATAAATACCTAAACCATTCATTAAATTTAAGTTCTAATTTTTTTGGTTTTTTGGGCCAGTTATCATTGTAGTTTTTAAATTTAAGTTGTTGGATTTGAATTTAAGTTATTATAGTTTTTAAATTTAAATAATAAATTATGTTTAGCCTTATGGCTCTTTGGCTCTTAGTTGGAGACGGTTTTTCGTGACAGGACTAAAACGAGCCCTATGACCCTTTGACCCTTGGTTGGAGACAGAGGCAAATAAGACCATGTACTGTTCATTAAAATATTAATATCTTGAAGAATCTTGGAGGGCCATAGGACTGAAACAAACCATCTGGTCAGCCATCGGTTGGCGATGGTCTAAGCCTCATTTGGAGGCTCGTATAAGAGTTCGAATAGGATTAACAATCCGAATCCAGTTGTTTGGTGTTCTCTTGTATTAAATAGCCACCGAATTTTTTAACCGGTTCCACTTATTTTGTACGGTGTTTACCCACTTTCTAATACTGTCCAAAATGATTGTATTATTGGTCGGGTCGCATTCACTTTCCTTCTCTCGTGAACTCTTCTGCACTGAAAAATTCATTTGCTGTTCTTCCTGTTTCTTCTCCGACTCAACAACAATTCTCTAGCATTTCGACCGGCAAATTAAACCTGACCTCCTGCCGACCAACACAACAGAAAAGATCTTGAAATTCCTTGAATGTGTGTGGCCACAATCACGCCGCTCAGCAGCCACGCCATCTTCGTTTTCACACCCATGATGGTGGATCGATAATTGAGAGATTTCATCTGGATTTTGGGATTAGTTGATGGTTAAATTTTGTTGTTGTGAGGTAATTAAACTCAAAATTGGGAAAGTTTCATATGGGTTTTTTATTTCAATGGATTAGAAACCATGGAGAATTGGAGATGAAAATCTGGCAGTAGTGATTGCAAAGAGAGATGGAATATGAGCTTTTGATTTCAATGGTATATGGTGGCGATGGTGAGTACTAGGCGGCTGCCTGGTTTTGCTCTTCCTCTTTTCTGGGACTTTTCTTCCTCTTTTTTGGGTTTTTGGTCGGTGTAACAATTTTTTTTATGTTGAAAAGTCTGATGGCAATGAATGCCCACACAGTATATTAGCAAAAGTCTTCAGCATGGGCAGAAGTTTTCAATGCCCATGCAAAGTGAAAGTTGAATACATAGAGATTGTATAGTCAGACGAAGTATCGTAAAATTTCAAAATGCATTAACTGCATCAGTTTGGAATTGCTCTATAAATAGAGCACTCCGCATGTTTTTAAGTTACAAGGAAAGAAAAGAAGAAGTGAACGAGAGAAAAATATCAGTAACATCATCTATTTTCTCTGCTTTTATTTGTTATCTGCCTGTGCTATAGTTTTAGTGTTGCATTTTACATCTATTTTGCACCTACCATTAAAAGGTTATTCCTCTAACTTTGACCTTTTTATAACACGTTATCAGCACAAGTCTCTAAATATAATTATTCTCTCATCTCTCTTCGCCGAACGAACGAAAGAAAGAAAAAATGTTTCCTTTAAGGTTTTTACTGTTCATCTTCTTCCTCTGCCTCAACTGCGCAGTATACCTTCCCAACGAACTGTTTGCTCCATGCCTGCTCTTAGTTCTCCAACTAACGGTTACATACATTTTTGATTACTTGTTTGGTGTAGAGATTGATTACTAACCCAGTATTTATTTATGTTAATTTCACTGCAATCCAAGATGGTGCGGTACAATCGCCCATCTTGAACTGCAAATTTATTTTTACTGCGATCCAAGACGGTGCGGTATCATCGCCTATCTTGGACTGCAGATTTAATTTTACTGCAAATTTTAGGTGGAGCGGTATAATCGCCCACCCTACCCTGCTTATAAATTTACCTGCTGTTTAATTTTATTGCAATTTTAGGTGGTGCGGTATAATCGCCCACACTGCTCTGCATATTTAATTTTCCTATTACTTGAGTGGTGCGGAATAATCGCCCATTCTATATTACATTATTTCAATGAGAATGGTGCGGTACAATCGCCCTTCTCATTCACCCTGAAAATCTCGAACCAGAAGTTTCGAGTGCTTATCATTTTGGCTTGAAGATCAAAATGAAAAATTTGTAAGAACCAGAAGTTCTAACATCATATTCCTTCAGGAATATATATTATTGCAAGTTTTACACATCTCATTTTCTTTCAGAAAAGAAAATGGCGAACTTGGCGAAGCTTGAATTTATTGCCCTGGATATTACCGGGAAGAATTACTTGACCTGGGTACTGGATACCAAGATCCATCTGGAAGCAAGGAATCTTGGAGATACCATCAGGGAAGAGAGCAACTCATCCTCTCAAGATCGGGCAAAGGCTATGACTTTCATTCGCCGCCATCTTGATGAGGCGCTAAAGAGCGAGTACTTAACGGTTGAAGATCCGTTAGATCTCTGAAATGCCTTGAGAAACATATACAATCACCAGACAACGGTGATTCTTCCAAGGGCTCGCTATAAGTGGACTCATCTGAGGATCCAAGACTTTAAGTCTGTGGCAGAATACAATTCTGCATTGTTCAGAATTACCTCTCAGATGAAGCTCTGTGGGGATATTATTACTGAGGAGCATATGCTGGAAAAGACTCTCAGCACATTTCATGCTTCCAACGTGCTCCTGCAGCAGCATTATAGAGCGCAAGGCTACACTGAGTACAACCAGCTGATATCTGTGCTCTTAGTAGCTGAACAGAATGATGAGCTCCTAATGAAAAAGCATCATTCCCGACCTACTGGATCTGCACCATTCCCAGAAGTGAATGCTACTTCCCTCGAAGTGAACGCCACATCCTCTGGTGGTGATAATCATAAACGAGAACGTGGCCACAAGCGAGGTCGATGGAATAGGAAAGGCAAGAACCATGGAGTTCAGTTTCACAACCAGGTTCCGAGGCATAATTCAGGCCCGAGCTTCAAAAATGCGAATCGCCACAAAGGCAAAGCTCATATGAACAATGCTCCTAGAAACTCTGAAGGAGTCTGCCATAGGTGTGGTGGCAATGGACATTGGGCGCGTACTTGTTGTACCCCAAAACATCTAGTGGATTTGTATCAAGCCTCCCTCAAGGAGAAGGGTGTCAAGACCAACTTTCTCGACCAGGCTAGACCAATGGATATACCTGATCCAGTGTTTGACTTATCAGGGCAGTTGAACACAACTCATCTAGATGTTTCAGACTTTATTATGGAAAGGGGAAATGAAGTATACCGGTCCGATTGAATCATTAATGTACTTTTATTATGCTGAACTTGTAGTATTTCAGATTAAATAAAAGTGGCATGTAAATTTTCTTGTTATAACTTGCTTTTAATTATGATTCTCTTACTCAAAGAGTATGGATAAAAACTGTGGTTATTCTCAGAACATGAGAAATGGCAGAGATATTTGTCTTGCAGACAGTGCAACCACACATACAATACTTTGTGATCGAAAGTATTTCTCAAGCTTAATACCTACAAAAGTAGGGGTAACAACAATATCAGGACCTTCAGATGTAATTCAAGGTTCAGGGCAAGTCCAGATTATGTTACCAAATGGAACAATATTGTCCATACAGAATGCATTGTATGCTACTCAATCTACTTGAAATTTGTTGAGTTTCAAAGACATACATCTAAATGGATACCACATTGAAACAAAAAGTGCAGAAAATGTGGAGTATCTATGCATTACCTCTAATGATACCCAGAAGTGTATATTGGAGAAGTTGCGTGGTATGTCGAGTGGATTATATTATACATACATAAGGACAATTGAATCACATACTGTCATGAACCAAAAGTTCATTGATTCAAAGGTTTACATACTTTGGCATGACCGTCTGGGTCATCCAGGATCTACCATGATGCGTAGGATCATTACCAACTCTAATAGACATCCATTAGTGAGCAGACACATTGCTGCCTCAAATGATAACCCTTGCAAAGCTTGTTCTCAAGTGAAGTTGGTAATTAGACCATCTTAACTAAAGGTTGATGTTGAATCCCCATCATTTCTGCAAAGAATTCAAGGAGATATTTGTGGGCCTATTCAACCATCATTTGGACCATTTCGATATTTTATGGTTTAGGTTGATACATCTACCCGATGGTCACATGTTTGTCTCTTGTCTACTCGGAATGTAGCCTTTGTGAGACTTCT